CATTTGGTGTTTATAGAAATACTGCAAATCTGTAATGATGAGACAACATTGTCACATATTTTCTCACAGTTACTAAACTATTTGACAGTATGCAACACCGAAGGTGAGAGCTAGTAAGGGGAGAATTTAAGAGGCTTTACAGCACACACCATTCACCTTAACTTTACTTGTATTTTTCAAGCAAAACAGTGAAAGAGGAAAATGTACATAACATTGATGTAGCTACAGTATGCTAGTAGGCTCATTGTTTGGACTACCACAGTAGGTGAGTAGCTACCAACCTGGGTATTTGCTAAGGTGTTCCTCCACCTCTGGTATGGCCATTGTAAATTTAGTCTTTGGGAATACTTTATGGTGCTTCACATTCAGTTCACTTACAGTTGGACCAAGACCTAAACATTAAAACCATGTTAAATATTTATTGATAAGGGTTGATTTTATTACTCGTATGAAGCATTTAAATGAAAAACACTTAGTTCTCACTACATAATAATTTGTGTTTTAATTTTTGTACTTTATTAAGGGTTACTATGGTAATATATACAAGTGTAATAATAATTAAATTCATTCATTTTGTATTTCGAAATACAAAATTGCAAAGAATAATAATAATTACTCTAAATTTATCTTCAATCCCCCCCCCCCCAAAAAAAAAAAAGAAGAAGAAAATGCAATTTGAAGAAATTAGAGGCAACCTAGATGTAATGTACGATCAAAGGTCGTACGGCAACGCTATCATTATCAAGGCGTTCCGTCTACTGACCTTTCGGGTATTGCTCAGTCACAACAACAGGCATATTCAAATGTTCACTGGCAGCAAGCACCCTCCTGGCCACTTCAATAACTGCAGGATAATAGCTTATTGTTTTACGAAATCCTTCTTGCATGTCACACAAAAAGAAGGCGCTGGATTGCACCGCAATCTTCCCTAGCTTACGACCAGACATGCTGTCTTGTTTTCTTTGGTTGAAAATAGTGCTCCGCACACAAATAATTTGATAAAATCTCTACCTAAATAACTTAAATTCATAATAGCTGATGATCACGTATACAAAAAATAATATTGTAAAAATAAAGCACCACCAACATTTGATTTAACATTATAAGATAATATTTATTCTAAAATTTCTATGTAGCAGTCCGAAGTGCTTGACCTTCACTTCAAGATGAGCCCAAATGATTGCTGTATCTTACGTTGTTGATTTTGATCAAGCTAAAGAACCTTTATGATATTTAACTAAATATTTTAATGAAAATGGTTTATTTTAACATAATGCACTAACTGTATGAGCGAAATATCTGACTAGCTTATCTTGAGAGCGATGTCAAATTTTTAATTAAAACACGCACCACAAATGTCATTAAAATGTTAAAGGTCGTTTGACCTTTTCTTCTTGTAGGGAGGGGTAGGGAGTCCAGTTAAAAGCAGTTGAATTTAGTTGTTTTTCGTTTTTCATTAGTTTTCAACCTGCCAATACATATTGAACTTTTGAAGTGGCCCCTGAACTGTGCAATGACCTAGATAGCTAGTTAGCTATCTCGGTTCATTTATGTGCTCAGGGTGCTGCAGCAGCGTAGGTACAGCTAGGCGACGCTAAAGGTGAAGTCTGGGGCAGCTGGACTAGTGGGTGATTAAGCAGACCAACCGAAGAGTAGCTGTTATTTGTGCATGTAAATAATTTGGGAAATATTTAAGAAGGGGTAGATTTTGTACTTTTTGCCTCAGTTTTCGGTCTTCCTATTTATACTGGTATGCAAACGTACCCTTACCGTTACCTCTTGATCCTTAGCGTTACCGTTAGAATGTTGCGTTTGTTACCTGGGATTTTATGTTTCGTTTGTTGCTATTGAGAATCATTTTGTTCAGTCTTTTAGTTCCGCTTATTCGATGAGTCGCAAGTTCATTTATAAAGGTCAGTTTACAGAGATAACTAAGTTGTGAACAATTCATATATAATAATATATAATTTTATCACCAAAACGATGGTTATTGCAATTATTCTGGAACCAGTGCTTGCCACCGGACCATTTTACCTCCATAGATTGCTGCTCTCTGTAATAATCTCTTAAGATTAAGTTTGATCCTTTGTATGGGGGTGAAGTTATCCCTTTAATATTTCTTAACTTAGCTTGCCTCCATTCTTATAACATCCAAAAATGAATATTAGAGGAAAGTGCAGCAACCGAAGATTAAATCCTCCCAGGGACCAAGCAAAACAGAGAAACATGATCTAGCCTGCTGAGCAACGCCAATTCAACGAGTCAGTGAATGCATTGTTTACAAAAGGTCCTACCAAACAACAGTTGTTTGGTGGGTGGCAGGTTTACTTATCATCATATTGGTAGACCACTTCTCCGGTCAGCTTAGCTACCTTGGTAGGTGTGGTGCTGGATTGCAACGTAATCTTCGCTGGCTTAGACACAGAGTTTTGCTCTGTGTAAAATTGAGTATGCTTTGATTACCATAGGCTGAAATCAATCTAGAACCAAACCTTTATGCTGGATCCTAGAATCAATAAACTGTTTCATTGTGTAAAACTTCAGAACTTCAGAAAAGTGCATGTCATTCCAGCCTTACATTGTTCTGTAATATAATGGAATACAATGGGATTTTTATATACTAGATAGTCAATATGAATAGGCCTACATAGACTGGGTTCAAGTTTTTATTTTATGCTCCTATTTATTTATTTATTTATTTATTTTATTTTATTTTTTTTCATTTTTTTTTTTTTTACTTGAACTGGATATGGGGATTCGCCCAATTTCAATCGTGGAATTCTCTAATGTTGGCACCAGCAAAATAAAAGTAGTAATAATAAATAAGTAAATGATTTAATCTATTAGATTAAAAAAAGAATACCAAAGGAACTTTGTAGCTTTTAAAGGATAAGGTGGCTATGCATCAACTGTCAGTGTTTTTTTGATTTGCAAACATGCTTGATTTACAGCCATGAGAGACCATAGGCATGACTTGCATTTTTGTGTTTGCTTATTTAAATCAGGATTACAAAATGGTTCCATTTGGTCTATGTACCAATGTAGTGAGAATGATTGAAATGCATGTTTTAAGTAAAATTGGTGAACAAATATAAAGTTATAGTAGGTTGAATAATATATTGACTGTGATACTCTGTTTATTGTGTAGGATGGCATTTCCATAAGCTTTTTTACTGTCAACCAGTGTCCATGCATTCGGACATTTAACTAATTAAATATACTAAACATGCTTTTTGGTAAGTGTTTTGAATTTGTTCATATGTTTTGTGATCCTGCAGCTTATTTCCTACTGATAAAGAAAAATCCTTTTTTTTTTTCATTTAAGAGTCAGGCACCTGCATCTGACTACGTACATACATTTTCCTCAGAAACACCATAGAAGGAAAACCCTATTAGTGTTACTTATTATACTCAGAATAACAGCAATGACTTTAAGTACTGAAATACAGCTCAGTTTTAAAACCACTTTTATTAATTTCTTTCTTTCTTTCTTTCTTTATTAATTTATTTATTAATTAATTTATTATTATTATTATTATTATTATTTGTTTGTGAACTTTTCACACTTTGAAATTTTCAAAGTGTGAATTTGACAGTAGTACATAATTAAAATTTGGTTTATTAATTATGATGTTCAGCACTATATACATAATATTACATGGAAATTGACCTAAAAACATTTAGTGCATTGTCATAGTTAATTCCATAAAAGTAAAACTGAGTTACTTATTATTCTTAAACTGACAAGAATGATTTGAAGGACTAAAATAACTGTGGAGTTAAATCAGCCTGATTAGATTATTTTTTCCTGAAGTAAAATGTTTTTGTTAATTTTTCACTTTTCACAAATGGCATTTTCTTGGTGTTTTTGAATTCCAATGGGACTGAAGCCATGTGCTACTTATATTTAGTCTTTTCCAATCCAAAAGAAATCATTTTTCAGACATATGCAGATCCGAAAAGCATTGCATGAACATTGCATTTTTTTTTTTCTGTAGGTATCCTTTTGTCAGCAAACTACTGATGTAATACGTAGCTGAAGAGATTGCACATACTGTTTGTCCGAGAAAAAAAGTGGTCAACAAGAAAAAAGAAGAAAAAAAAAGAAAAACCTGCACATTGGTTGCTGATTACTGACAGCTGGCAATAAGTCATTTGAAAGGAGACAATGTATACAAATTACAAACAGAGGTACAAGCCCAAATTTTGAAATAAATTAGATTGATTCTTAATGGAGCATATTATTTTCAATGAAACAAAAGTATGTAATTAATTAATGAATACGAACATTTAAGGTTAACTTTTTCTTCCATGGCACTCAACAAGACTACTAGCATTCAACACAGTAAAAAAAATGTAAAATAAGTATACAAGAAGATTTGTACTGAGTTACTTATTATTCTTAAACTGTACCGATTTGTGAACTTTTTTTTTTAGCTCAGAGGCAGGTGTTATCACAGGCCAGTCAAAGTCCAGATCATTTGTTTCCTTCTCCATAAATGGAAAGGCCTATCAAGGTAGTCTTTTGATACTTACATTTGTATATTTTAATCAGAATTTATAATCTCAGAATTTAGACTTTACCGTGATATATAAAAGTTTAAGGCAAAGGAAGAAAACCAAGTCTGAAGTAAAATTCTTCAGTATTTAAAATTGTTTAGTTGTAGTATGCTATTCATCGGTCTTGAACAAAATACTTTTCCTTGGGGGTCATTTTTTAACTTTTGCTCCCAATTTCTTAATAGATATTTTAGGCAGATTTTAAGTTGGATTTTATTTCTCTTCTAGTCAGTGGTGAACACAGCCTAGACACTCCTCTGGCAGTTTTTATTCGTGATGTAGCGGGCTTAAAGGGAACAAAGATCTCATGTCGGGAGGGAGGATGTGGTGTTTGTATTGTTTCAGCTAAGAAGTATGACCCAACCACCAAGAAGTGTATTACCATTTCTATAAATTCGGTATGCTTGTTGTCACTACTGAAAAACATGGTTTATTGTTGACTTTCTATTCTTTTCAAGAAAAGCTGAACTTTGAAATATATATATTTGACTTAGAATTGACAAGTTCTCAGCTGTTTGTATACCATACAAAACCCTGGAGTTTAATTCTGTTTATGATTAATGTTCTGATCAGTGTGGCAAATATGAAAGCTTAGCTTATAAGGATGACTCAGACCTTTGAAAGCTTGCATGTGTTAATAGAAGTCTGTTTTCTAATTAGAAAATTTAAAAATCGCATTGAAAATGAAAGAAAAATTCTTCTTTTAATATAATATTTTATATATATCTAAGTAGTTAAATCTTTAAAACAAGATTTATATATTTTATGTGCCAATTCTTCATAAATTGTTAAAAAAGATATTTAAATTCATTTCAGTGTTTGTGCCCTGTGTATTCCTGTGATGGCATGGAAATCACCACAGTGGAGGGACTGGGGGATAAGACCAATGGCTATCACCCCATCCAAACCAGACTGGCAGATTACAATGGAACCCAGTGTGGCTTCTGCAGTCCAGGCATGGTCATGAACATGTACAGGTAGGAGATTGTTATGAAAGTATGGAAAGGGTGGTTTTGTTAGGTAACATTCAGCCACTAATGCAAAAAGAAAAGAAATGGAATTGTACATTGTATTAATTCAAATTGGTACATGTGTCTTTAAATCAGCCATGCGTTATGCATAATGGCCATTCCAAGCATTCTACTCCACACATTTTCCCTTTGTAACATCTTTTTTTCTTCTAATTTTTTTCAAATGATGCTTTGAAAAAGAAACTTGATGAAAATACTTAACATTAAATGTCTGAGTGTAAGTTGGAAGGAAGAGAAATGTCAGAAAGATTAAGTAAAAAATATGGAATGGCTCATGAAGTGGGAGATGTTGAGTACATATCTAATGAAATGTTTGCATTTATGCATATCTCAGTCTGATAATATAGATCTGTCATTAATGCATGGTTTATATATGATATTCAG